CAAAAAGAAAAAAAAGAAAAAAAAATCAGCTTAGGTCAACTGTTAAACAGATCTGGGATTCAAGCTTTAAGAAAGGGAAATTAGTACCTAGTTTTACCCGGAATATGAGGGTGTGGACATCTTCATTTCTTCACATATTGCATCCTAGTCAAAACAGTATGACTGTTCAGCAACAAATAGGTGAGATCTGATCTCAACTGGAAGCCTACTATAGTTAACAGTTAATAGTATAGGTATTAATTCACAGGAGATTTCCTTCAGACACGCCACACTTCTTATTTGTTTGTCCAATTCTGAATTTTGTTATTATTATGAAACAACTTGATGAAGAAACACAATTGAATGGAATTATATACACTGTATTGATTATGTCTTTGTTGTTATGCTGTGATTTCAAGACTTTATAGAATGTCTGAGTCATGAGATGTCACTGCATGGTAGATTAATTTGGTCCCAGAGACTGGCCAAGATATTTCCAGCTGTGCAGATAGACTTAACAGAATATGACCTCTGTCACACCACACCAAAAACTTTATCTGCTATATGTACCTATGCAGACACTTGTTTTTACATTACTTCGGTCTTTGTGCTCACCTGGAGACATGAAACTTCTGAAACTGTCTGCTGATGGCTATAACTAGCCTTACAAGTACTATTAGTATAGCAGTAGTGCCTGGGACCTCCAAAGCTGAGTACCTATATGACAAAGCCCAAAACTTTGTGTCAGAAAGCTTACAATATAAATGAAAGATAGATGGGAAAGGGTACAATAAACAAACTGGAAAAATACAAGTTAAAAGGGAAAACACGGGATACAGAGATACTTATCATGAGAATTTAAAGAATGGTTAAAAAGTGAATAAATAATACATTTGTGGATCCTACTGTTAGCTTCTCTACCAAAGGACCTTCTACACAAGCATTACGAATCATAGCTTAGAGACATTATTTGGGGAACCTGACAAGTGAGTAATAGGTGTAATTCTAAATAAACTGATTAGTGCATAAAAATATCCAGGAGGATGTTGATCCATTAAAAGTACTTGCAAAAACCACATAGATAGAATAATTTTTTTAAGGAATATTTATTTTCAGTTCCATTTAAACAACCCACTTTTGTAACACATACTAAAATCTTTAGTAAACATTCTAAGAAATTTCAGGATTATAGCCACAGGGATGGATTAAATGCATTTCAGTTCTGCAGACTAAAATACAGAATATGTTTGCATCATTCTGCATTTTATTATGTTGCTGCCTTTTGGTATGCTTTACATTAAAAATACATGACTGACACTCTTTATACTGGTAAGCCTTTTTATTGAAAAAAAATGTTATTGCATTAAACTACATTCCCAGGAATTCCTTGAATAACCTAAAAAAAAAGCCGCGTTGCATGTACAATAGTGCAATTCACTTAGCTACTGTATAATATAAAACACTTTATACAGAGAATACAAAACAAAATTACTAGTTTACATATTATACTAGCCAGAGTATCATCCAGTTTTAAATATAAACTTAACACTTTTAAAATTAATCTGGTCAAATGGCATTTTTATGCAAATCTGCACAACAAATATACATATTAAATGTATTCCAGAAGTGTCTCAGTTACCAAAAAAATTCCCCCCCCCCCAACCCCCCAATTTTTGTCATTGTGTAACTCAGGAAACTTTTATTATTGGAATTTTACAGTATGGGTGACCTGTTTCCTTGGATTATGTATCAAGAATATACAATCAAACTAAAATAGATTATTAACTTGGAGTGTATATATTGCTGCCACCAGGATACTGTAAGTCTTTTAAAAATCAGTCTAAATAAAATCAAAATTGTAGCACGGCTCCATACATCAGGCTCAATTATGCTTTTAGTCATAATAATGAGACATATTTAAAGTACATTATTGATGAAAAACAAATATGGCAGCAAGTAGAGCAAATATATCACCTCAGCTGTGCTGATAATTTTATTACATTTCTCCAAGAAAATCCCTTCTGTGTACTAAGAACAATATTGGACATTCTCTTTGTTAGTAGCCAATGATTGCTGTTTTGCTATTGTGCTGTTTCTGTTCCTTCTTAATCCCTCTTTTTTTCCCATAAATACCTCTCAAAATCCTAATTGTCATTGTTCCAAGAATTAAATTTAATCTTTATTGTCTATTCATTTGCCTTACCAAATCATCCTTGTTGGTATATACAATGATGCAAGGACATCCTATGATTTGGTTCCTTCCTAGAATCCCATTGTATTGTGCACACATTAAGGGAAACGTATATAACTATTTTCCATAAAGGATCTATGTAGCAGGAAATTGTTAAGTTTCAATTGGTCAAGTTTCTTGCCATATGAATTTCTACAATATTAACACGGACTGTAAGAAGCAGGGATAGAAAATGTGTGTATACACATTAAAGATGAGATTAACCTGTCATTTCTTCTGTTCCACTTTTTTCTCTTGGTGTTACCTACTTAGGATTCAAATTAACTCTTATATACAATGAGAACAGCTGGTTTTTCTTGAATAGGAATGGAACTATGCCCATAAATTTAAAAGTTTCTAGGGCTGGAAATACATCTTTTAGGCTGGTATTAGCCCTGAACTGGTGGTGATGGCTGTGCAGCTCAGTCAGCCTCTTCCAGGGCACAGGCTGATCTGCTCCTTTAATTATGACTAATGTTTCCAAGTGGTCCACTAAGTGAGGGATCTTCATCCAAGCAAGCAAGTACTAATTTTCAGAGGTGTTGAGTCACATTCAGTGAAATATGTTTGATTCTCAGAAAATATAGTTTCAGAAGTATAGAAATTATATGGAAATTCAGATGTAATTTTGGGAAGATTTTCAGCCAAAAATGAAAGGAAGAATTTTAAAACTGGGGAATTATTTATTTTTAACATATTTCCCAAAGAAAATTTCTCACTTCCTTAATTCTGAAGCAATAATTTCAATTAAATATGTTCCCTACAATTAAAATGAGAAAATTAAACCATAAAGATAAGTAATTCCAAAAAGGCATTTTGTTAATGAGATTAATAAATCAGCTGGGAATCCAACCAAAAGATATTTGCGGGTGCTGATTTCACCAACCTTTCGGAATAAAAAAAAAATGTTTTACTTCTGCTCAGTCTCCAGATCTTTTCCTGACAGCTTTTATTTGATGGCTAAAATGTTAAGTATCCAAAGAAACTTTAACTTTGAAAATACAAAACAAGCAGTTATAACTTCTAAAGCCATTTGAAAAGTTTGGCATAATACCGGTTTATGCTGAAGCAGCTGCTTTTAGAAATTAAAACAATTCCATTTTATTGCAGTGTATCAATCTGCTTTGATGAAAACTAAGTTAGAAAATTGGTCCTAAGTTTTATTTTAAATATTCAACTTAATTGCAATTGGATTTCTCAGTTTCTTCAGATAGCCAAATATAATGGAATAAAATCCTCCAAAAGTTTTTTTAATATGTTTTATATGGATTCTGAAAGACACATTATTAATTGTGCACTACATTATTGTGAATGAATTGAAATTATTTCAAATGTTTCTAATCCAAACAAAGAGGTACTGTCAGACACTTCACTGTCCAATTACATTGGGAAGCATGCCTGCAGTCCAACCACAATTATGAATTTAATTTCATGCTAAATATCCCATGTTGAGTTAGAAACATTATAAAAATAGTTAGATTGTGCCATTCAAAGAGATGCTGAAGCCCTCACCTATTTCCAGATACACAGTTTTTACTAGCAATTTCAACCACGCATTACCCTGAAGGTTGGATACATGCATTCAAACATTGCAGATTCAGAACTTCAGTTTGTATGTTGAAAGTTTGGGAAGCCATGCGAGAATCTTGACATATTTCTTTAGATTCAATATACCTTGAAATGCTGAGAACTGTGGTATAGTTTTCTATGAGACTTGACCTGGAGAGCCAGTTTCTGCTCAGAATTTTATTTCTGCATTTTTATGAATATCAGCACAATTTTATAGGACCAGCCAATTGTTTATGTTGTTTGTGAAAGGGATGAAACATATTTACACATTCTTTGTGCAAGACTCTCCCGCTCATTAGAGCTCTGGTAGGAAAGAATTGTTGCAGTCTTGGCCAAGGACCTCTGAGGTTCAAAGCCAGCACTAGCTGCTGGGCAATTCTGGGCTGCTGCTGCCCACCCCTGACATACCCTATGCTACAGCCACAGGCAGGCTATGCCAAAGAACTTGGCTTCATCCCCTTCTTTCCCTTGCCTTCTTGGATGCTTGGCTCAGGGAGAAAAGTAGCAGTCTGCTTGTGCCAGCACAGAGCCCCCTACTCTAAGGGAATTTTTTGTTATGTACCTGTGGCCAGACTGGAGTCTCTTTACACTGTCCAAGCAATGTATCCCAGGGACAAAATCACTGAAGTATCCTTGAGATGTTGTTGTGACCCTCTTCTTCCAGTGTTAACTCATCACCCCTCACTCTGGGGCTCCCCAATTTATTTTGGCCAGGAGTCAAAACCAGGGACTTGTGGTCCCAGATACCTTCTTTTTTGCTCAGTCTGAAATACCTTAACCACACCAAGTACTATGCTGTTGCATATAGACACTCAGAAAAACACACCTTTGAGGTGCGTCAAGATTGCTCTACCTTATATTGCACTACTTTAAACCACTCATCAGTGTTGATGTTCTCGGTCCTGTGGTGCCTGGGTGCTGTGGTCCCATTCCTACTGACAGTCACAGGCTTCACTTCAGACTGTTCTTTCCAACCCTTCTGTAGAATAGAAGCTGGACCCTGTCCTCCTTGTGATAGTATCGTAAAAGACTTTAAACCAGCTTTTACCCAGTGATATGAGAACTAAAGCAACGTTCGTATGCTGTCAGTCAGAATGTGGACTTTAAAATATTTGCCGTTGTGCTCTCAGCAAAACAGTAAATTTCCCCTCAGACGTGACTGAACACTGAATAATTTATATTATTCAAATTTGGGTTTGGAGCCATGGTGTAATTGTTTGGGCTAGTTTAAATAGCTAGAAACACTGAAAACTTCTTTTATTGTAGGTAACTGTTGGGTCTGGCTAGAGCAAGAATGGTGATGGGGCTCTTGCCCTTGGAAAAATGGATGAACAAAGGGATTTGGATGTATAGCAGAAGGTGTGGCTGCATTCAGGTGGGGTGTAAATAAGGCTGGGATATACGCAGTGTGTGGCAGTGTGGGAAAGGTCAGTGGGGAAGGGTGGAGAGGGGTGGTGGAGACCAAGTGCAATGGGTGTCCTGCCAGCAAAGCAGGGTGGGTGGGAATGAGGGCTGGTGCTAATGGGGAAAGTGGTATGGGGGCAAAATGTGCCTGAGAGAGGGGATGGAGGTGGGCCAGGGAGAGATGGCTGCCGTGGGGATGTACAGATGCCGAGACAGCAAAGCGTTGCAGCAGTGTGTGGTGGATGGTGGTGACAGCAGCGTGCTGCTGAACAGGGAGGGCAGGAACTGCTGGTGTTGCAGAGAAGGCAGCTGGTCCTGGGGCAGGCAAAACTTTCAGGTGTTTTGCCAGAAGTTGTTTCTGCATATGCTGCTGGGCTTGCAGCTGCAGCAACCTGTATTTTTCTACTTCCTCTGGTGAAAATGTGATAGGCTGCTGCGTTAAAGGAGGGGAGGTGGATTTGCTGTACACTTCTAGGTCATTTACTGTGTCCTCATACTTCTGCATAGCATTGTCACAAAGAGAGTCTGAACTGCCTTCTGCCCGGTTTGAGTCCATGTTTACATCATGTAGTTCTTCTTTGGTCTCTGTTGAATTAGCAACAACAGAATATCTATTAGAGGGAAAAGCACCAGGGAAATCATTTGGTACTGGGTCACAGCTTTGTATAAAGGGTTGCACTTCACTAATGAAGAGATTGGATTGTTCCTTTATTGCCGTGTTCCTTTTTATGCTCGGGCTCTGATAGCCTGTTCCTATTTGAATGATGTCTTTAAAAAGGCAATGATCATAATCAGTGCCAGTTGAAAGAGCAACATCAGTTATCTCTGATGCTTCAAAGTTGTTTTTCTTCACACTGGTTTCCAATGAACTAATTTCATTATGCCCCGTGTCATTTTTACCTACACTTAGCAGTTTCTCTGGCAAAGGTAACATTGCAATATCATCTACCGATGATGAAAACTGAAGAGCAAAGTGACTTCGCGAGTGATCCCTTAATTCTACCCCACAAGTGTTTGAAAATCTCTCTGAATCGTGCATTTGTTCCTGGGTTTTCTTGGACTGCACTCTTTCTAAAAGTAACTTGGCAGTCAGCGACTTTCTTTTTCCACATATGTCTTTTGCCAGGGTTTCAGAAGAGCAGGTGGCAAAGTTTTTTGGCTGACCATTCACATTCAGAGAGTCGTAATGTGCAATTGCAGCTTTTCCCATTTCAGTGTTAGAACCTCTTTCTGCGTCATCTTTTGTTTTGTCATCACAGTTGTCAGTCTCTTTTGAGAAGGATCCTGAACTGCTACCTCTTGATATTCTGCTACTAGACGATCTTTCGCTGCTTCCTGAGTCTCTGGTGGAACAACTTTTGGAGCTATGGTAGCTTCTACTTCCACTGTGCACTTTGCCAAAATGCCGGTGTCTACATCTGCTGTGTTTAGATCTGTCTCTGTGTTGTAAAACTCTATGTCTTGAACATCTTCGATATTTAAGTGTGCCCCTCTGTGTACAGTTTCTAGTTCTGTGAGTTCTGCTACAACAAAGGTAATCCTCATCTGTATCATTAGAAGTGAAAATACACTTGTGCTTTCTGTGCTTACATTTGTGCCTTTCAGCTGTCTTGCTTTTTCTTTTACAACAAAAAAGCAAATGGTTTCTGCTGTGATTGTTCGATGTGGGACTCAGGTAGCTCATGTAGCTACTCGTACCACTAACTGAAGTGTCAGAATAGCTGGAATGTCTGTCAGAGGAGGACTTTTGAGGAGATGGGAATCTCCAGCATCCCATGCAACTTCCACATCTTTCATTTTCTGAATACCTGCTGTTTGAACTGGATTTATAACTAAGGAAACTTCCACTAGAGTCTTTTCCACTGTCACTTACGTCACTGCTGCAGCTGGCCACATCTTGAATGGATCTGCAGTCATTTTGGTTTTCAGGTTTTTCCTCAGAATAAATAAAATTACATTTTGCAGCTTTAGACTTTTTAATCCTAGACATAAAAGCAGAAAAGGAAATGCTTTCATTTCTAATGTTCTGGTTTTTTCTTTCACAGCTATGAAAATGATGCTTTAAAGGTCTTCTCAGTGTTGTTGTATGAAGACTTTTTTCTGTCACGTAATCCTTTTGTGAGACATCAAGGTAAGCAGGCACTTTGGGTATATTTTCATTTAAATAATCTGCAATGCATTTTTGACCATTTTCATTCATTTCTTTCCCTATGTCTGACTCAGCTTTTTGCTTGACCTTTCTTGGATTTAGGGAACCTTTCATCTTCTTTGGTTTCAACAACTGATTATCTTGTTCATTTGACATTTGCTTGTGTTTTATTAAACCTGAGGCTTCATTTTCATCTGCAGTCTTATTTATAGAGTACTCTTTACAGCTTGCTTTGTTTGTTTCATGATGTTTACCATCTCTGTGATTTAAAGAGAGTCTGAAGTCAAAATACAGTGGATTACAGCCATATGAAATACAGGGCTCAGTTTTTGTAAACAAAAGTAATTCTGTGGGCCACTGTAGAGCAGTGGTGCCATCTTTGCTCACTACATGGAGGAAAGACAATGCCTGGGGCTTAACATCTTTAACTGTGGTCTCCCTTGGGAGTGTTTCCATATTCCCATTTGTGTTTTCTGAACTCTCCAGTGATCTTTCTCTTTTTACCACCCCAGGACTGTCATTAATGTTGCTTTCGCCTGTCAGCTGAGGTTCTGGCTGTTGTGGGAGCTCAGGTAACTGGTCAGGCAGGTGGGCATTGCTGTTCTTGTAGGTGTTCAGCTGTGTACAAAAATTGCTAGCGTGGCATGAAGGTGAAATGAGAGTTTCTAACAATTGTTCAGACTCATTCAATTTGCTCTCTTGCTCTGTTTCTTTAAGTGAACCAGAAAAATCCAAATTTGAAAGCTGTATTTTGGCTTTGGAAAATGAAGGATGAGCACTGACCTTTTCTTCTAATTCTCTATCACTACTTTTATCATTTTCCTTTAGCATTTTAGGTTTTACAGCTACATGACTTGATGCACTGTTATCCAAATCCTTTTGGGCTTGTGTAATAGGTAGCCCTTTATCCAAGCTTGCTTTCATGTCCTCCTCCAAAAGTGTACCAGAGCAACAGCCCTCAAGAGCTTGCTTTGTTTTATGGCTGGGGGATTCACTACAATCATTTCCTTCTTCAGAGTTCTCACTGAAGACTGATGCTGAGGACTCGAGCTTCAAAGGGACTTTTTTAGAGAATGAGAAAGACACTCCTGCCCTTTGAGAAGTATTGGTGCTATCTGGGAGCGCTTGTGAGACTTGATTTCCAAGCGCATGGGGTCTTTCGGTAGGGGACTGGTGCCTGCTTATGATAAGCTGTTGTTTCTCTAGTACGCTGCTGGAGAAACCTTGTCCTTCACTTGTGGTAGTTCTTGGAGAACTGGCTGTGAACTTGCCGCCCTTGTACAGGAAAATGCCATCTGGTGATTGCTGCTTTTCCATGACTAATCTGGGGGCTTTAAGCAATGGTCCACTCCCAGTCATGCTGTAAGGTAATTAAATTAAAAAAAAAAACAAAACAACAAGCTGTATTAAGTAACCAAGTTAAGGCAGAACTCGCATTTGACGATGTCTATCTGGTGAAGAAGGGTGTCACTCATGCTGTTACTAGGGAAAACTAAGTTTCTAAAGTTTCTAAAGGGTAAATGTGCAGTCTAGCCCTGAGCTTGGGCTTCTATATGGGCAAGACAGTCCTTACATACAGGAAATTATATGATTTGAAGTCAACACATGAATGCTCTTTTTCAGTTATGCCCATGTATGTCCAGAATAAACAATATTGTCTTTACTCTGCCTTTACATCAAGGAGAATCTGGTCTGTGATAAGTCTTGGTTTTCTGAGAGGCCACTGCAAAGGAAATTGTGCCTTGTTCAAAATGAGACACTTCCACCTGGAGCATCTGCAGAATCAAACTCTGTAAGAGAAAAGGCAGCATTCTGCTTGCCTAGTGGGGGGAAGTGGGGGATATGCATGATTTTTTTAAGAGTAGATTTTTATTTTATCTTTATACTATTCCACATTAGATGACTTTGTGAAATATTCAAAGAGATATTAATGCTAAAACTATCACCAAACATCGGTGGGGAAAAGGACACAAGGTGGATTTCCATCAATCTTAATGGCAACTTCACTGCTCTCATTATCAATCACCATTTGACTTCTCCATATTTTTCCTTTCTGTATTGTACTCTCATTAATTAAATTTTTTCTCTTCCCAAAACATCTCATATTTTAAATCTGTGGTTTAGTTTTCTTGTACTTTAAAAAAAAAATATCAACCGATTTTAAGAAGGTCTTAACAATCATGGTAAATCACTGATTTTTTGCAATAGATAATTAACTGAGATTGGAATGACTGTTGCCATTTTCCATTAGAGATGAGATATATATATAGCCACCATACAAATGTTATTCCAAGTAACATTTTAAACATACATTTCGTTAGACCAATTATCTACATTTGCTATCAATGCAGTATTACAGTACACTTACATGAAAAAAATTTGAAACCAGCGTCAGTTAAGAGTTTGATTAAAAATTAGAAAATATTTTAATTAAATGTAAGTATATTATGACTACCAGATCTGCATAGCAGCTATCTATAAATAGCCTAGCATGTTTTATAAATGCTATAAAAATGCATTGATCTTCAGCAGTGGAAACGACATAAAGACTCCCTGGAGTAGGGTCAACTCCAAGTATGAGAATATGTATGCATTTCTGAGAATATATTTGCATTTGCCACAAATTTGGCATCAGGAGATACAAATTCACCCCTATTTGTACATCAGGAAGGAATTATCTCTTGGAGAAGGCATGTAAAGAGATCATTTTCAAAGTCTCCTTGCAACAGCAAAATAAAGCTGTGTTTTCAGTTTTTCGGTGCAAGACATTAACAGTAATTTTGTTGTCAAATTGTATTAGCTTCTTGTAAAGAACTCTGTTGGGACCTGAGGCACAGTACTCAGGGACAATAATAATTGTGCGTGTGTATAGACTTTTGCTTAGACAGGCTGACTTTCTGTCTTGCCTGAGCAACTGGGCATGCTACCCCTCTGCCAAGATCTCAGCCACCCCTGAACCTGTTAGTCATTACAAACAGGAACAGCAAGCACTGTCTTTCCAGGCTCTTCGTAAAGGATTATGGACTCCTGGCTCTTTCTAAAAGCAAACCTGCTTTTTCCCTCCCAGACTCATTCTAGCTTTCCTATTGTCACTGACGTTATCGAACTATCTGAGACTACATCTTCAAGTGCATGCACATAAAGGCATCTTCCCACAGGCAGATACATTTCTTTCACTAGATTTGTATGAAAATGGAGTTGTAACCATAAAAGTGATACATTACCACTAAACAGTTATATTTCAGCAGATTACTCAAAAGCAATTACATAGGCCAAAATTAGTGTATAATAAACTCTGAATGTTATTATTTCCAGGGTACAGTAAGCTTGATATGAATTTTAAAGGATGCCACTTTAATTATCTACTTAACTCATTACGGTCATAGATTAATATAAACAATTGGTCTGGTGGCAATCTATTCTACTGACGCATTCAGTGTCATTAAACAAAGGAGATTTCTCAAATGTAAAGGTTTATTACTGAAAACTTTGTACTGTATCTTGATATTCATCAACAGAGCTAACAGTATTGGGCAAACTTAGTTAATTACTTGTTTTTCATTCATATGATGATACTCCCATTACTCTACAGAGAAACTGTGAGAATAATCTCAGTATACTAAAGGTAGTGAAAATGATTCACAGACTAAATACAGATGGTCTAAAAGGTGGGTTTCCTCTCCCATTCACTTACTATCAATTGATAAGACAGTTATACTAATCTATTTAGGTCAGTTTGAATAAGGTAAAATGGTGATATTATAAAAATATCTTCAAACCACTCAGTTCAGAAGAGATAAGATTAACTAGCTACAGGAGAGAAAAACAGAAACCTTCAAATAGCATGTAATTAATTCAAGGGCTTTCAATTTTATGGTTTGCAGAACAGGAACATTTGGAGTTGGGGACAGCTGAAAACAGGTTACAGTATACACAATCTCTACATTACAGAGCGTAGGAGTGAAAATATGGAGATTTCTTCTGGGACTGAGGAAAGAGGGCATTAAAACTTAATAGCAATTTTAAATACTTGCCATTCTGACTGCTTCCGTAACTCTGCGAGCTGGTGGAGCCGCTTGAGTGCTTTTTCCTGTTTCTTCTCATCTTTCCATGACTTTGAAGCCACATTTCGAGCAAATTCCCTTTGTTTTAAATCTTTCAGTCTCTGTGTGAAAAGAACAAAAAAAGAAGGGATTAAAGATGTACACAGCAGTTACATTTCCTCTTACTCCATTTATTTGGTTTTGGTGAAGTTAATATATAAATGGAGAGTACAAATATACTTAAAATGTTATCATCCTAAGAAGAGATTGAAAATGCTATTTTTGCCTAACAAAACAACATGATTGGGCCATTGCTATTTAGCTGATCTATACCTAGAGATGAATGATAGTTTTTAGTTTATTATGAATAAACAAATCTTCTGTTGTGTACAAATACATACACAAAACTGGACTCCATTTAATGTAGCTGAAATTTTCAGCTGGAATTTAATCCATTAGCATACACTGGAATAAAGCTGAGCTTGTGTGTGTAATATATTTTGTAGATCTCTGTACTTGCACATGTATGCATGTATGTATGTGTGCTTGTGTGTTGGTGTCGTAGATTTTAAGACTGCATTTGTTTTTCAAAGGAGAGAACTACTGTCTGAAATATTTGATCAGGAAACTCTTTTATGGTTATTTTCACAATTTTTTTTATCTCTTCAAACATCTATAAATCAGGTAATTCCTGCTGGAGAGAGCAAAATTCTTTGCCTTTATTACATTTTTTTATTACCTGGTTTTGCACTGCTGATAGTATAAGGAAAAGTGAAGGAGAAGAAGACACAAACCAAAAAGTGCAGGTCATGTCCAACCTTACAACTTCCCAGTTCAGGTCCATGCTTCCACGCTCCATGGCAGAAATGCCTTCCTCCCTTCACCACCTCTCCACTGCTGTGGTGTTTGGGGAAGGCAGGTTTACAAGCCAGAAGGGAGCTCCGGTGCATTCAGCCAGATGCCCAAACTGGAAACCTTGAGAACCAGGACTGAGAACTAAACCACTACGTCCACTTGCTAGAAACAGGCCATACAGGGTCCGTAATTGTGTTCTCTGAAGAGTGCTTGGAAAGCTGTAATGGGTATCGCATCAGCTGTCCTTCAAGTATGGGATTTTTTTAAAAGCCAGATAACATCTGTGAGAGAAAAATAAATAAATGTTGGGAGACTAAGAGCAGAAGTTTCTTACTTGCTCTCAGCCTTCTGGACCCCAAGATGTGCACCTCTGAGCACTGATCTGGAGGTAGGGACAGCTGGGCTGCCCGCGAATCAGTTGCTCAGGGAGCTTAAGAGCTGGCTCTCAACCACCTTGATGTCTCTGCATATGCAAACTCCCTTGGATGAGGATGAGAAGGCCAGAAAGGCAGTTGCTTAGGGAACTGCTGCAACCAGCAAGAACAGTCCTGCTGCCTGGTGCCTGCTGAAAGTTTAACCATATTTATCAGAAATATTTATAGTCTGTCAAATCTGTATGTTTCTCCAGAAAGTTTCTATCAGCTCCAACATCTAGTACCTCAGTGAACTAGATTCTGAAACAGGACAGCTGCAAAGTCCTCTTTAAAGCTCTTAGGCTTCAGTTCCTTGGAAAGAAATAGTTGCTCCACCACATTTTTAGCTTTTTCCTGTCCCCTTACATGCTCTCCCTCGTTGTTCACTTGCCCCTGGCCAGGCCAGTCATATAGCGCTCCATTCCCTCAACCTCATTCCCTGCAATTTAGAGTAAAATGGATGAATATGTAAGACAACATTACTTTTGGTCCAAGAAAGAAGCTTTTTAAATAATATGGTAAAGCCAAAGTTGTAAAAGAAATCAGAGAATCTTCCCAGAATGAATCCACAGTTTCTGTCACCTAAGTAATATTTACAAGAATGTAGAGATGTTTAAGCAGTAAAGATCCTATCCTCCATAGAAAAAAACACAGGTAGTCTTGAGTCTTATTAACATCTTCAATATGAAGAAAGGGCAAAGAAACACATTTGAGAAATGTCCTTTAGTTCCACTTGCTGTTTTTTAGCTGTCACCGTGAGCTGTTCGGTATCACACATAAAGCATTCATGAGGAAAAACAGAAACAGTTTCTACCTGTCAAGGAAACAAAGAACAATGTGAAAGCTAGTACTATGGAGCGCAGGTACTGCAAAGCAATGCCATTTCATTTCTTTGACAGTTAGGATGATAATCAACAAAGCAAATGGACCAACACTAAGAATAGAAGTTCTAGCAGTATTTTTTGCTCTCTAATGGCATACAGCATGTGTCAAGGAAGTAGAGAAAAGAATAAAAAAAAAAAAAGTAGGTAAGCATAGTGGAGGACTCATCAACTGGAGATGAAATCCAAGAAATCAAAAGCATCTACAGTCTAAGCAGAGACTGCCTATACATCCCCTCATCAAAACAAAAAAAGCTGCACTGCCAGAGCTCCAGTTAGGAATCGTAATGAAATTTGTCAGCTATGTTAGATAGACCATGGGACTGCCTGCTGAACCTGCAACACTGTGGTTTTCTTCACTAATAACCTGTGCCAGACTTCTGACAGGCACACAAATATTTTCCACAGGTGGTGCACACAAGAGCATGCAACTGAGCAGGTACCTGAATGACAACCCTAAGCTCAGCAGGTGTGCTTGAAAATTAACATCACTTTACACAGCAATTGCATTTTTCATGTAATTAGGTACTTAACTGGGCAGCCAAATACAGGCACGTATAATAAATTATGATTTATTTAATAGAAATCTTGTGTTCTGTCCTTCACCTGCTACAGATATCATTGCCACAGAGTTATATTTCATTTTTAGACTCAAGTTCTATTCTTTCTCTGTTTTTTTGTGCAGATGTGTATGTGGACCTTACCGTATCTAAAAGTAACCCATCCCTTTTTTGTAAACACCCACACAGAATATTAAAAGACTACAAAATAATATTCGTTGTTATGGAAAGATTTGCTTATACAACCAGGTCTGAGTCATGTCGGCTCCACTGTCTAAGACCCACTCAAAACCTGCTGAATCTATTCTTTTCCTCCTGAACTCTGGTATGAATCACCAGGAGATCCAAGTGAGTTAGTGGAGCTGCATTTTCACTACATACTTTTGCTAGACATGAAATATCAGTGGCCAAATACCTGTACTTTAGCAATTTCTGCCCATTCTTAATGTTGGGTTGTTTTTTTAAAATTGTCATTTTATTGTGGCCAGTACTTGCTTTTCACTGACCTACGAGCACCTGTAGCATACTGTGTTGGCTTTGTGTGGCAAGGTTTTGGTAGTGGGGGGGTTACAGGGGTGGCTTCTGTAAGAAGCCGCTGGAAGCTTCCCCTGTGTCTGACAGAGCCCATACCAGCCGGCTCTAAGACGGACCCACCGCCGGCCAAGGCCGAGCCCATCAGTGATAACATTTTTAAGAATGGAAAAAAAAGTTGGGACAGAGACAAAACGGCAGCCGGAGAGAGGAGTGAGAACATGTAAGAGAAACAACCCTGCAGACCCCCAGGTCAGTGAAGAAGGAGGGGGAGGAGATGCTCCAGGCGCCGGAGCAGAGATTCCCCTGCAGCCCGTGGTGAAGACCATGGTGAGGCAGGCTGTCCCCCTGCAGTCCAGGGAGGTCCACGGGGGAGCAGATATCCACCTGCAGCCCGGGGAGGACCCCACGCCGGAGCAGGTGGATGCCCCTGAAGGAGGCTGTGATGCTGTGGGAAGCCCGCGGTGGAGCAGGTTTGCTGGCAGTACCTGTGGCCCTGCAAGGGACCTGTGCTGGAGCAGTGTGCTCCTGAAGGACTGCACACCGTGGAAAGAACCCACGCTGGAGCAGTTCATGAAGAACTGTAGCCCATGGGAAGGACTCACATTGGAGGAGTTCCTGGAGAGCTGTCTCCTGTGGGAGGGACCCCATGCTGGAGCAGGGGAAGAGTGTGAGGAGTCCTGCCCCTGAGGAGGAAGGAGCGGCAGAGACAATGTGTGATGAACTGACCCCAACCCCCATTCCCTGTCCCTCTGCACCACTGGAGGGGAGGAGGTAGAGAAAATCAGGAGTAGAGCTGTGCCCAAGCAGGAGGGAGGGGTAGGGGGAAGATGTTCCAAGATTTGGGTTTATTTCTCATTATCCTACTCTGATTTGATTGGTAATAAATTAAGCTAATTTCCCCAAGCTGAGTCTGTTCTGCCTGTGACAGTAATTGCTGGGTGATCTCCCTGTACTTATCTCTACCCATGAGTCTTTCCTTATATTTTCTCTCTTTGTCCAGTTGAGGAGGGGGGGTGTGATAGAGCAGCTTTGGTGGGCACCTGGGCTCCAGCCAGGGTCAACCCACCACACTGGACTTCTGTAAGGCCTTTGACACAGTCCCCCACAACATCCTTCTCTCTAAATCAGAGAGATATGGATTTGATGGGTGGACTGTTAGCTGGATGAGGAATTGGTTGGATGGTCATTTCCAAAGGGTAGCGGTCAATGGTTTGATGTCCAGATGGAGATTGGTGACAAGTGGTGTCCCTCAGGGGTCCGTACTGGGACTAGTACCGTTTAATATCTTCATTAATGACATATTGGGATTGAGTGCACCCTCAGCAAGTTTGCAGATGATACCAAGCTGAGTGGTATATTTGACATGCTTGAGGGGTGGGATGACATCCAGAGGGACCTGGATAGGCTTCAGAAGTGGGCCCACGTGAACATCATAAAGTTCAACGAGGTCAATTGCAAGGTTCTGCACCTGGGTTGGGGCACCCTCCGGTATCGATACAGGCTGGGGGATGAAGGGATTGAGAGCAGCCCTGCCAAGAAGGACTTGGGGGTACTGGTGGATGAAAAGCTGGACATGAGCCAGCAATGTGCACACGCAGCCCAGAAAGCCAACGGTATCCTGGGCTGCATCAAAAGAAGTGTGACCAGCAAGTCGAGGGTGGTAATTCTGCCCTTCTACTCCCCTCTGGTGAGACCCCACCTGGAGCGCTGCCTCCAGCTCTGGAGCCTTCAGTACAAAAAAGACATGGTGGTTGGAGTGGTTCCAGAGGAGGGCCACAAAAATGATCGGAGGGATGGAATACCACTCCTATGAAGAAAGGTTGAGAGAGTTGGGGTTGTTCAGTCTGGAGAAGAGAAGGCTCTTGGGACACCTTATTGA